TGTGTGTGTGTGTGTGTGTGTGTGTGTGTGTGTGTGTGTGTGTGTGTGTGCCAGGTGTGTGCAATGCCCCGGAGGCCAGGAGAAGGCACTGGGCATTTGATCTCCTGGACCTGGAGTTACAGAGAGTTGTGTGCCACTATGTGGGTGCTGGGAATTGAACCCAGATCCTCTGCAAGAGCAGCCAGTGCTCTCAATACTGAGCCATCTCTCTAGCTCCAAAAATTTCTAATACATTAAAAGCTGATAATATACATTGCCAATTTCTCTCCCAATTCTCTGGATTGTGCTCTCAGAGTGGCACTGTAGGAAAATTAGCCTATCCCACCAAACCAAAGAGGGCTCCTTTTGCTGATGGCGGCGTTACTTTCATGTTTGTATTTGTTGGGTTAGGAAGTAAAAATAAATTGAAAATGCTTATAGGTCATTTATGTTTTTGTTATTTCTTAAAAGTCCGCTTCTGTGAAGCCTTTATAAAGATCATAACTCTGTTTCAATCTACTATGTGCTTTCAAGTGTTAGGATGCTTTTAAAACTGCACACACTCAAAGTTTCTATATTCAAATGATCACAAATCCCTTTAAGTCTATGAAAACTCGAACTTGAAAGCAGGGTAAATAGGGGAAAGCCAAGCTTGAGCGAACCCCTGGCAGTGCCGTGCACAGACGGTGTCAATCACTACCACACACACCACAGAGACTTCAGAGAGGGCTGAGAGCAGGAGCCAGTGCAGAGAGACATGCCCAGAAGTGCTCGAGTGGAAGTGTGTGCTCATCGGGGAAATAAAACACGGCCTTGGCTCCGTCTCTTCCCTGTCACTGTGATCAGACACCGTGGCCAGGACAGCTTAGTAAGAATGATTTTAATTGGCTTACCGTTTCAGAGCTTAGAGTTCATAATGGCAGGGTGAAGGCGTCTTGATCCACAAATAAGAAGGAGAGAGAGAGAGAGAGAGAGAGAGAGAGAGAGCCTGAACCAGTGGCACACCTACTCCAATAGCACCATGCCTCCTAATCCTTTCTATTTCCCCAACTAGAAACCAAACACTTAAGCACACCAGCCTCCGAGGGCCTTCTCAACCTAGCACAGGCTCCTCATGCACCTAGAGCATTATCCTCAGACTGCATAGTACCAAGTGTGGAGGAAACTGTCAACATTTCAGGAAAGAAACAGACGGGTGGCACCTACAGGGGAGCAGCCACATTCTATGTGGTGAAGGGGGAAAGTAAGACCAGATCTCTAAAGCCTAAAGAGAAATGAATGATGCAGCTAGCGGGTATTCTGGGAGAAACTAATTCGTCTTTCAAGAATGAGCAATTTAAGACTTCAAGGATAATAAAGACCCAGTATGTGGTTGTAGAAAGGTCTTCTAGAGCTTGCCCTTCTGCAAGATAGACGGTAAGCCCGCTGGAGAAAGAAGCTGAGCAGAGGAGTCAGTGTGGCTCTGTAATGCCAAACTGTATCGGCTGTAAACCAATGGTTAGCTATCAATGCGGACGACATAACAGCACATTTGGAGGGAAGTCTGATCTTGTTATGAAGGAGGCCAGAAACAGTTATGCTATCCTTGATTAGAAGATGAAAGCTTTAATTGTGTGTGGTTATTTTAAAATCGATTTTAATGTGTATAGATGTTTTCCTGCGTATACTTCTGTGCACTCCCATGCATGCCTGTTGCCTGAGGAGGCCAGAAGAGGGCACCGGATGGTGTGAGCAGCCCTATGGGTGCAGAGAATTGAACCCAGGTCCCCAGCAAGAGCAGCCAGCACCCTTAACTTCTGGTATCTCCCCAGGGCCCTGTGATCATCTTTTAAAGGAGACTTTAGAAATGAACTCAGTGAGAGGGAAAAGGAGAGAACGAAGCATTATTACATCCTTACATGGTGAGACCACCCTTCAGCAGCTAGCCCTGGTAGGCAAACTAGGGTCACAGAGAGAACCACCCTATTGGCTGTTCAATTATGACCCTGATCAACGTCTGTCTGTGATTGGCTGAAGTACAGAAGTCTGTAATTGGCTAAAAGTCTGCTTTTACAAAAACATAGGCTGTGATTCATTGTATAGGAACTCGAAGCATGGAGACAGATTTAGGCTAATGCTTGGCTTGTTTTAGTTAGCAGGATACAGCCTATGCAGTTGGGGCCAGAAACAGTAAAGGAGAAGGGAAAGTGAACATAAGTAGAAAACGCCATGTAAGGTAGAAAAAAGACACTGAAGGACACCATTAAGACAGCGTTCTAGAAGACTGAGACTTTATCTACATAACTGAGCGCTGTATTGCCTCTATGAAGCACATTTAACTGGAAAACAGAAAGTGTCTAAGATGAAAGTGAGGAAGAGTGTCTACTGCTCTTGCAGAGGACCTGGATTTGGTTTTCGGCACCCGCGTGGTGCCTCACAACTGTCTGTAACTCCAAATCCAGGGGATCTGATGCCTCCTTCTGGCCTCTGCTGGCTCCTACATTTATGTGGCACACACAAACTCATACAAGCATGCACTCATACACAGAAAAGTACATCTGGAAATAAGGAGACACTTACTTTGCTTTAGTACCTGAAATAAATGCATGATAGGTCTATCGATATCAAAGTAAAACAAAAACTAAAAGTAAAGATATCATATATTTCTAAAAATCTACAGTCAAGATGTAGCAGTCATGAGCAAGCACACATGCATGACAGCGACCCGAAGTGTAAATATGAATAAACACACATGCATGACAGCAACCTGACATGTAAACATGAGCAAGCACACATACATGACAGCAACCTGACATGTAAACATGAGCAAGCACACATACATGATAGCGACCTGACATGTAAACATGAGAAAGCACACATGCACGACAGCGACCTGAAGTGTAAACA